CTACCAATTGGAGATTTCACAGAAGTTGTGTCTTCTGGACACCCCATAAATTTACCCGAGCAAGTCACCGAACCCTCCCGGGCACATGAGATACGTGTTTAAATCCCCCAAACAGTGCCAGACTCATTCGGAAGTCAATAAATATTAGCCTGTGTGCCTGGCTAACTCGCTCCTTGAGCCTCAGTCGTTGGGCTTGCACCTCCTTCCTGGCAGCGGTGTGACCCCAGGGAAAGGCAGTGGCGCGGGCATTGGAGGACCGGCAGGCAGAGCCCCGCCCACCCACATTTGGGCGACTTTCTGGGGAGTCCAGTGGGCCGTACTGCGCCCCCATTGGCCGAGGGGAGGTGGGCGGGGCGTCCCTACAGCACAATTCGCCGACGCTCCCTCCCCACCTGCCCGGAGTGGACTCGAGTTGACAACGGCTAAGCAGCGGCGGCAGCTGCTCTTCTGGCTGGCACCGTTACTCCTGCCCGACCCCAGGCCCCGCGTGTGCCCCGGACGGGGCAGTCCCTCCTGGGCTCGCCTCCTGCCCGCTCGCTCTGTGTCAGCGCCCGAACCCAAAGGGGTGGACGCGGCCTCCAGGTAGGAGTTGGGGCGACAGCGGGGGCGAGACAGACGAACCGGGGTGCCTGGGCTCCGTCACCCCGCCTAGCCTCTCTGGCGCGCTCAGGCTCGGCCCCTTTCCTAGCGGTTCCGCCGGACCGCATACGGTGGAGATAGGGAGGAAGCGAGCCGAGCCACCTCCGCCCCTGGGATTGGGGATCAGAGTCGCAGAAATTGGGAGACCCCCGAGCGAGCCAGTCGCGTGTCTCCCAGCGAAGGCTCGCGAGTGGGGCGGTGGAAGGCAGCTGTCCGCCTGTTACCGCCGGGCGCGTGAGTCCCGCAGCCGTCGCTCTGGTGCTTTGGAGGGGGGTTGCAGCTGGGCGGGGGCAGCAGGGCTTGAGGCTCTGTGGCCGGGTCGCACCGGTTCTTCTGCCCTCTCATTTCTCTGCTTTCGAGGGCATTTCCAGGAAGCCCCCGTCCAGCTGTATGGGCTTTCCCGTCGGCCACTGCCTCATTGCTTTCCCTTCTGAGAAACGCCCAGGACTTCTTGGTATTAAGGTAGTTGCGGGGAACAAGTGAAAACGTCTGGACAAGTCTCATCTTCATAGGCCTCATTTTCCCATAAAGTCCAAAATGAATTTGTATTAGAGGAAAGGCCTTTTAGTGGAAGTTTCAGGGATTTCCAAATTAGGTTGTGTGGGGTTCTCTCCCCGTTCCTCCTGACACTTGTGAAAGTTGTGCGCTGAATTACGACTCAGGAAACTGGGGTTCAGCTAGTCCATGTGACCTTAGGTGAGTCATACTACTGTGTGGGCCATAGTGGTGTCAGCTGCACCTCAGGTGGCAGCTTGATTTCAGTATCTAAAGGGCCCGATCTCTTTCACCCTGACATTTGGTTACTTGGTACCTGGGGTCAGGCTCCTAACTGGCAGGTAAAGTGTTGTCTCTGAGACACTGGGGAAGACAGGAGCTATGCACATGAAGAGCTTTGTGGTGATTATGCAGCTAAGCCAGCTGGAAAACTAGAGTGTGCAGGGAGGGATGGGCGACAGCAACCAGATCAAGGTAGGGAGAGGTGGGAGTTTTCTTCCAGAGCCTGGGGCTCCAGAGGTTGGGGGCCTCAGAGATTGGGCTGGCTTGGAGCCTATGTGTACCCCCACGTCCCAGGGCCCTGGCTTCTCTCCCAATCAGAGCTCAAGCGGAGAGGAGGGGTTAAATGAATCACACCTAGGGCTATTTTCAAACCCTGACTCCTCCTGTGTGACCTGCTCCCACCCCTGACACCACCTGTATTCTTGCTCTCTGAGTTTTCCTCTCATTTTCATCTTTCTGGAATGAAAGGGGGACAAATCTTGTCCGCAGATGGGATGGGAAGGTGGGCAGCCCAAAGGCATGAAGAAGAAAGCTACAGGTGGTTTCTGGGTGGCTTTTGCAGTGGCAACAGTGTGATGGGGAGGGTGGTGTTTCATTGTAAGGGGTAGGGGTCGGTAGTGAAACTCCCTCTAAAGGTACAGCTGCCATCTAGCTGGAGATTCTGGGCTGGTGCTCATTTTAGGGATGTGGCCTTTTGTTAATGTGCTGGACTTTGGATTTTGGATTTCTGCTTTCTAGACCCTAGGAAACACCACACTGGACACTGCCTCTCGTGTTCTTGGAGAAGTATGCCAAACCTCTCTGTGCATCTATAGCTCCCCTCCCTGACCTGGAGAGGTATCTGGAGGCGTTTAGAGCAAGAAGAAGGGCTAAACTGGAAGTGTGCAAATGCAAAGGGGCTGTGTGCCCTGTGTGCTTGCTTGAGACAGGTTTTACAGTGAGTCATATGGGGAGGATGGAAGAGCCTTCCTTATTCAAACACAATACATCCAGAGTTCCAGGAGAGGAGCAAAGAAAGTGGCACCAAGAAGGCTTGAATATTGTCCCTATTTGTCCTCTTGACATTTTAGAATTCCATTATTGGGACTACAGATTGGAGAGGGAGCTGACGACCCTTGTGTCCAGGTTTAGAGGATAGCAACAGGGATACAAAGGCAAGAGGATCCCAAAGGGAGGAGGGATGGAGTCTCCAATTGGGAAGCTGTTGCAGCTGCAGGGGCTTTGCTGCTAGGAGACTTCTGGAGCTCCTTATTTGAGCTATGGAAAGTTCAGTGTCAACAGATGGCAAGTTTATCACAGGCAGGCTGTGCCCTCACCTCTTTTCTGGCTGGAAGAAGGAGTTGCATCTGCCTTAAAAGAAGAGAGGGACCTTTTCCCTTAGGCTCCCAGTTTAGGTAGGATCAGGTGTCGTGGTCCCCTGGGCCTTAGGAAAGCTGTTCAGCAGATAAAATAGGGACAGAAAATTTCAAAGATGCAAGGGCTTTAGGGTGGGAAGTGTGAGCCCCCGGAGATCTAGGTGAGTTTTCCATTCTTCCTCACACCACAACCTCAGACAGGGTAGCTGAGCACTGGGCTGGGCACACAGTTGCTGGTGTCAAGTGTTTATTAAGGAGTCTTGGTTTGTGTGTGCACATGTGTGCATGGGCATGCCTTGGGTGAGGGTCCTGGTAGATAGGAATCAGTGGGCTGGAGGCCACAGCCTGGGCCCTTGTCACAAGTCTGAAGTGCTGTGTTTGTGGGTGGAGTTTCCTTTTGCCCAGCCCTCCACATTTGTTGCTTTCATGCTAAACAGTTGCTGTTCCTGTTTACCTCGACCACACATGGGAATTTTAGAACTGAATGTTAAGTTCCCTAGGAGTCCGGGGTGGCATGGAGCAAAGTTGGACACGGGGAGCTTTAACTCCAGGCTCTGCAGCCCCCCTCAGATTCTCCAGCTCTGGCTTTCTTCTCATTTTTTCCACTTCACTGGATTAAATGAGGGGATTCATGGCTAAGTACTTTGTAAACTATCACGTGCTGTCCAAATTATTAGTCATTAAGTTCAGGCTTGGCGCTAGATCTTATGCAAGACACAGAGTTCAAACCCCCAGCCCCAGGGAATCTACCATTTAGTTTGGGAGTTAGTGGAATAAATAATACATGCCACTAATTATTTATATATTAAATAATAATACCTTGGTGAGGGCTTTTAAAAATTATTATGAATAACTTCAAACATATAAAAATAGAGATAATTAGTGTACTAAGACCCCATGTACCCACCAACCAGTTTCAACACCGTTAGCCCATGGCCGATCCTGTCCTGTGCACACTCCTATCTGCATCATGACCTTGTTATTTTGAAACAAATCCCAGATACCTACCTTTATCAGTTCATCTATACGTATTTCAATACATATTTCTAAAAGCTAAGGATTCATAAAAAACAACCATTATCACACCTAAAATAGTTTCTTAGTATTATCAAATAACCGGTCAGTGTTCATATTTCCAATTGTTGAGAAGGACATTTTTGCCCTGGGGGTCCATTCTGCCTTGGGAGTCCATTCCAAGGAGTGAATGCTTTTGACTAAGGGGAAGGTGATGGACAGAGACAGTGACATTTGAGCTGAACCTTGGAAGAGAGGCCCAGGAAAGGTTCTGACCCAGATGTTAGCCACCTCTAGGGCTCCAGATCTGAAGGCTGACCCATGGAGTTTTCTTGCAGAGACTTCCTGCCTTTGTTTCTCTAGCAGTAAATGACAATTCTCACTCTCACACTTGCCTCCCCAGTTCCAGGGCACCCAGGAGTTCGGGGTCCACATGTCTGGGAGAATTCTGGGAGGCTGCTGTCCACCCAGGCCCCTCCCCTGTGCCTGGCCCCTGAGGCCAGTTCAGAGCAAAACAGGATGCATTCAGGATGGACGTCTTTCCCAGCTTGTCATCTAATCACCAAGGCCCAGCTTGGAGCTTCCTCTCTCATTCATGATAAAAACCCTCACTGTCTCTCTTTTCCCTTCCGCCCCAGTAAGGGTGTGCTGACTTCCTCTATATCCGGGCCAGCCCTCTACCCTCATGCGGGGCTGTGGGAGAGATTCCCTCAGTGCAACACTCTGTCCCTACCCACCTCACTGCAGCCCGTTGGAGAGGGAGAGAAAGACCCCAGGAATGTTCTCCCTGACTGCAGGCTCCTGCTCTTGGGCTGTCCTTGGGAAAAGAGCAGCCTCTTTCCAACAAGCCTGGTGTCCTGCCACTGCTTGGTTAATCATTGAGCCATGCAATAACCACCTTGGAAAGTCATCTCTAGGGGATGGTCATTAACTAACTCCCTGTCCACCCCAGGCCTTAAAGAGACCCTATCCTGAACCCTCACCTTCCCCCAAGGGGACATTGACATTCAGTCATGGGAACTTCTGGGGCCAGTTAGAAGTCTGTCCCTCTGTCCTTTACTTGGGCAAACAGAAGCAGTTATTCACACAATTTAAAGGGTGTGGGTTCAGCTTGGATGGTATTGAGTAGGGGAGGGGAGTGAGTGGATGGGGATTTAGATGGGCAGTGGGGTCCAGCATCACAGTTAAAAAGGGGTAGGGGTGTTTCTAGGAGCAGTTGATCCCTCATCTCAACGTGAACGTCTAAAAGAGCGAGAAATGCCCACCCAAAGGGTCTGCCGATGCTGGGGATGGGATGAGGCTGTATGAATGCGTGTATGTTTTCAGTACAGCGGTGGGTTCCTTTTCACCAGGCTTCGGTGGGAATGGGGACAGCCAACCACACGGTTGCTGCTGAGAGGCTGAGGGCCTGTGTAAGTGGAGGAGGATGCCTTCCCCTGGGAGCCTGTATCTACTCAAGCAGTGGCCCTTGGGAAGGGTTGGGCCAGGACCCAGACCCAGACCCAGACCCAGACCCGATTTAGAAAGCTCCAGACCACACGCAATTTTCTGTAGCTTCAGTGGGAAGAAAAGGAACACCTTATGGGCCTACTACTGAGTTAGGAAACTTGGCTTCTGGTTCTGCTCCCTTTATAGCTTTGTCTCAGTGAGTGATTTTTGCTTTCTCTGAGACTCAATTTCCATGACTATAAAGTGGGTAGAGCAGGTGGCAGGCAGACTCAGTGGTGTCTCAGCCTTCCGTTCAGCTATACAAGTATGTCTTCCCACTCAAGACCCTTTTCTTACCTACCGGGCAATGGTGAGCTGGCTTCAAGTTCAGCCAGGCCCAGTCGCCAAATGCTCTCAGCTGGCTAGGTCAGTTTGAGCTGGCCAGGCCCTGAGCTGTCACAGCTTAGGTTCTTCTTGGGCATGGGCTTTTCTGCAGTTTGCTCTCTGGCCCCTCCCCAAGCCTGTGTCTGTCCCAAGTGTCCAGCCACTCTCTGACCCATTCAGCCACAAGTTAATGATTGACCTGCTCTCCCTGGGTCGCACCAGCCCATGGTGCTGCTGGGATCCCTTGTCCCTGTGGGAAGGAGCTGAGGGCCTAGCCAGCTCCAGTCACCTTTATGCTCTCTCCCACAACCCCTCTAGAGGTAGGTATGCAGGCAGAGCTCAGAGGAGAAGGACCTTTAGAGGGCACTAAGTCCAACTTTCCTTCTGAAGCTTAGGGTTTCCTGACAGGTACTTGTACAGTTCTTGCTCACTCATCTTCAATACCTGGGAGTGTGATATATTTCAAGCAAGTTGCTTTTGTCTTTGGAATGTCTGAAAGATTTTTCTCATGTTGAACTTAACTGTGCCTCCTTGAGGCTTCTAACCCTGGGTCCCGGCTGTGTCCCCTGAGACCTCCTGGACCCTGTCTGCTCTCTCTGACCTTCAGGGGTCTGAGGATGGAACCCAAGTGCACCTGTGTCTTCTCCAGGCCAAACAATCTTAAAGCGTCTGTGCTCCTCCTCAAACCTGGGGCAGCTCCCTTCCTGGCCTCATCGCTGTCCTCTGTCTTCCCTACATGCTACTCTTTATGGTCCCCTTAACATGGTCCCCTGGGGGCAGGAAATGGGGCACTGGAAACCCCTCACTCCCCTTAGTTTATTTATAGTCTGAACTTGTCCAGACAACTTCTCTGTAATCCTTTTTGGTTACCCTGACAGGTAGAGTCCTAACTCCGGAATCTTGGGTGCAAATACCTTACACAGTGCTCTCTGATTTGTTTCTCGTTCAGGTCTAGCCAGCTCTCATGATTGGAGAGCCCTTGGAAGTTACGGCCTTCTTATTGCTGCCCCCTTAGTGGAGGACAAGCCTGGTGTGAGTAGGTGTTCTCCTTGATGAGTTGAATACAGTGTAATACGTGGAGGGCTTCCAGTGTACCCTGCTTTCCTGCCACTAGGTTTGATCTTTGGAGCTGGTGGGGGGTGGGGGGAAGGGAATATTTTAGGGAGTACTGAAGCCGGAAATGAGTATGAGCCATACCCACAGTGGGGCCTAGAAGAGTGAATCAGACAGGGAGAAATACCAACTTAGCCATTCCTTCCCCTAGCCGTTGATGATGATGACTGTGAGTCCTCCCACTTCTTCAGTTTTCAAGGCACTTTCATTTCCATGATCCCAATCTGTTCTCAAAGCAGCCCTGTAAAGTAGATGGTATGATTTCCCAGAGTGATCCGTGGTGGTCTCCGGCTGAGGCCCAGGGAAGAGAGGAACGGTCTTCAGTGAGGGAGGATTTGGAGCCCAGGTCTCCTGACCCTCAGCCCTCCCTGTTTTCCCCAAGCCACACCCAGCAGCCGGGGCTGACTCGGCAGCTTCCTCACCACAGAGGAACCCCTGCTCCGGCTACAACTCTGTTCCTGTGAGAGAGTGAGCTCCAAGGGAGGTGGCCTAGGATTTCCTGTCCTTTATCTGGGCTGGCCAAAGGCTCGCCTGTCTGAGGTGTGAGATAGGCACCTGCAGCCAGCCTTTTTGCTCCAGGCTAAGGTCAAGTCAGGCTGTGGCAGAGGCAGGGAGCTTATGGAAAGAGCTTGTCCCCAAACATCTGTGCTGAGCAGCACCCACCCCAGCAGGGTCTTGTAAATGGGGAAAACAAAGAGGGGAATGTGGAAAAGGGGTCAGAGTGGAGCAGAAGTAAAACATCCTGAGCTGCACACATGCTCTCGTGTACACAGTGCTGGGAGACTTCGGGCAAATTACTTAACTTTTCTGAGCTTTCATTTTGTCAGCTCTAAAATAGAGATATGTACCCACCTCACAGGGTTGTTGAATATTAAATCCAACAATATAAATAAAATTATTGCCATGATTGTTGTTTGGTAATACCTGCTGCTGCCCTGTCATTTTGCTGTTTTTCACTGACCGGGGATGTGCAGTGCGCAAACCTGCCGCCTCCTAGGCATTCGGTCTGGACTTTGCAGTCATTTCAAAGTTCACCTCACCCAGAAAAGCGCCCATCCACAGGGCTCCCTTCCTCTGGCCTTCTTTAGTGGCATTTATGACACTGCAACAGGCTATAGTAGTGATAGGGACACCAGTAATAAGACTGAACTCTTCCAAATTCTTGACACATTTTAACTTCTTTAGCATCCATAGCAATTCTGTAAGGTAGATACTGCTATCCTGGTCTCTATTTTACATGTAAAGAAACTGAGGTAAGTAGACATTAAATAAACTTGCCCAGGGTCACATATCTAGGGAATGATGGAGCTGGGCTCAGGACCCAGGAGGTCTGACTCCACCTCCTGATGTCTTTAAGACTCAGCCATGCCTCTCTCTCCAGTTGCCTGGCCAGGAGGCAAGAGCTGAGGTTCGGGTCACCTTCCTCTCCTGAGTGCTCATCACAGCCACCAGTGATCAGTCATTCCTGGGCCTGCAGTCCCAGATCCTTGCCTGTCTGCTCTGTGCACTTCCCCTTACCCTCCATCACCAAGATGGACAGATGGATAGGAGGGAAGACATGGAGGAGTGGGTAAAGTAAAACACTAGAACAGAGCTGCGTTGGGGTGGGAGGGTGTGCAGGAGGGAGTTGGGCAGTGGGGGTGGCGGTGTGGTTCTGACATCAGCACTAGGCCTGCCTAATTAGCACCTTCCAGTACAGGGGGTAGAGAGCAGAGTGCTGGGTGGCATCAGGGAAGAAGAGACATTTGAATATGCTGTCTTGACAACTAGGTTGCATTATTTAGAAGGCATGGCTAGTTAGGGGCAGGCAGGAGGCTGGCTGGATTAGCTCTTGTGATCACTAGCTGCTGTGTCCCATGCTAGAATTTGGTGGGAGGAGGTTATCCGAAAGCTCTGGCCCTCCCTGAAGTGCTTCCATCTCAAGGTCCCGGGGGCTGCAAGCTTCCTTCCCTCAGGCTTTACTAGCTGCCAGCTCAATTGCTTCGGGGTTCATTTCCCTTTATCTTGCCTTCAAAGCAAGCTCCAGGGAGTGCTATGAAAGCCAGTCCACGTTAGGCTCTGTCTCCCTGAGAAGGATGGGCCTGGCAGCAGCTCTGGCCAAGTGCTGCAGGAGAGTTCAGCTTTTGTTCTGTTTTCAGACCTTGGTGCCCAGCGTAGGGCTTGGCACCAATAATGCTTGGGTATTATTAGTTGGTAAATGTACAGATCATGGGGAGTGGATTCTAAGGGGAGAGCCGAGGGAGGCTGAAATGGGAGCAGATCAGCACGAGGGCTATGGGTGTAGGTAGGTTTCTGGCCCAATCTGTAGTCCAATAGAAGCTACTTAACCTACTGTACCTCAGTCTCCCCATTTGTACCATAGGCATTACCTGCTTTGGACGAGTTCTTGCAGTGACTAAATGACATACAGGATGATCAAGTGCTTTTCTGGCTGATGGGAAGTTACCTTCAGGCTAACCACTCATCCTACAAAAACCCTGGTAGATGTTTTTTGTGTCTGCTGTGTGCCAGGCCCCAGCCTAGGCAGTTTGTTTTCTTTAATGAGGAAGATTCTAACTTGGTAGCTCTGACTCTAGAGTCACAGTGCCAGGATTTGCATCTTCACTCACTACTTCTTAGCTGCTGACCTTGGGCAAGTTGCTTATATATCTGGGCCTCAGTTTCCTCCTCTGTAAAATAGATTATTGGAGCATTTACCTCACAGGTTTGTTGTGAAGATATAAAAAGAACTTAAAGAAGTGCCTGGGACATAATAATGGCTCAGTACAAAGTCTGTGGCCCAGGGCACGTAGTAAGTACTCTATAACTATTAGTGTCTGTTATAGTTTATTAATAATTACATTCAGTATCATAAATATTGCTGTCATTAATGACTAAGAAGTAAAAAGCCAGGACCGGATGTGGTGGTAGCTCACACCTATAATCCCAGCAGTTTGAAAGGCTGAGGCCAGAGGATTGTCTGAGCCCAGGAGTTTGAGACCAGCTTGACAATATAGGGAGACACCCATCTCTACAAAAAATAAAAAATACAAAAATTAGCTGGGTGTGGTGGTGCATGCCTGTACTCCCAGCTACTCTGGAGGCTGAGGTGGGAGGATTGCTTGAGCCTGGGAGGTAGAGGCTGCAGTGAGCTGTGGTCGTGCTACTATACTCCAGCCCAGGTAGAGTGAGACCTCATTTCAAAAAAAAAAAAGGAAGAAGTACAGAGCCATGACTAACAGGCTATGTCTTCAGGTGGCTAACCTGCTACTCTTCCCACTGTACCCTGTAACCTCTATGCCCATAGGCCTTACAGAGCTGTAAGACCATGATTTGGGATTTTTCTTCCCTTGGCCCTACTGTGGCCTGACCATGTAGGTTGTCACTCTTGTCCCCAGAGCCCTAGGCTCCCACCCCCTGCTATGCGCTCAGCATCACAGCCCTCTGGCTCTCCTCAGGCCTGGGGGGGAGGGGTTGTGTCTGCTCCCTTCCCAGGGAGGTCACTTCTCTCAGGCCCATTTCCTTTTTGTCAGAGACAATTTTCTCTGGATCTCAGGGTGGGGCCAGGCTCCTTCAAGGCATTTCCTGCCCAGGAGTTTATATTTGGCCTGAGCAAAAGGAAAGGGAAGTAGGCAAGGGGGTGGGATGCAGACGCGGTGGCACGGGGTCAAAACAGACAAGCGCCGAGACTTTCCAGGCCAAGAGAGGGAGGCAGGAGGCAGGAGGCCTCTTCTCTCAGGTAAACTTGGGTGCCCTCCCCTGAGCTTAGCAGAGTGAAGTGCTCCTTCAGGTCATAATGCTAGCACCAACAAGCAGAGTTCATTTTCTGTTCTCACATCTCTGGGCCTTGGTTCCTGTCTGTGTGATTTCTGTCCTAGGGCAAGGCCTTGAGGTGAAGACATGTGCTCAATTCCCATTTGTGGTGCTGTGGTGATACCAGACAAGGGAGCAGAGTCAGAGGCCTGTATACTGTGTAGTGGGAAGTAGGGCTTCCTGTCTGTGTGTTGCCAGAACATTCGGTAGCCCTTAATACACTGCAGTGGCAACACAAAGACCAATAATACCCAGTGCAGAGAAGCCCACAGTTGAATGGGGGATAGACTCACATGCTGCCGAGACGATCATGGAAATGTGTTAGGGGGCTGCTTAATTGAACTGAGACATTGGATGTTAAGGAGTTAGTGAGAGGTCAGGGGAGGCTTCGTGGCAGGGGTGGGGGTTGTTTAACCTCCATCTTGATGAATAAATAGCAGTTTGAAGCTTCAAATCAGGCTGCGTCTAGATTGTATGGAGCCTTGAGTGCCAGGTAGCAGTGAAGGCTATCTGCCCCAGGCTGTGGGAGCTCTTTAGGTTATAGAGTAAGGGAGTGGCCAGGTTAGAGCTGGGCTCTTGGAAAAAGCAGCTGGTAGGATGGCCCCTTGAAAGGAGAGGCTGGAGGCTAGGAAATTAGAGGGCTGAAGTAATCCAGGCAGGAGAAGCCAGAGCACAGTTGGGCAGGAAAAACCCCAATCGTTTGATGGAAGAGTTGGTAGAATCTGGTGACTAAATGCATGTGGTGAGAAGAGGGCAAGGATGACTTGAGGTTTAAGCCTAAGCAGTGGGCGCATTTGGAGGCGGGAGCATCAGGAGAACTGGTTTGTGGGGAAAGATGGATTTGGTCTTCATTCCCACTGAGGGTCCTCGCTTGGGTCCTCAGAAGAGAATGTGAAGGAAGACAGCTCCCCACACGGAGAGAGCCACTACCCATCACACACACGTCTCTGCTGCAGCTCTAGATTTTGGGGAACGGCCATTAGGAGCTGGGGAAACTGATGTTCAGACAGAGGTAATGGCTTGCCTGAGGTTATGCAAGTTGCTAGTGAAGGTAAGGCCAGAGGTGGTTCACTTGACCTTCAGTCCAATACTTTCCACTCAAACCACAGTGGAGAGCAGTCACTGCTGGTC